AGATTGATTCGTGCACTTGGGGAACTTGGTGCTGTCCTGTGGATAGCTGAAATTGATGACATGAAGGAATATCTGGTAATGATTTGAAGTTTGTTTCCGTCTGGTCAGCGCTGATTACAATTTAAGGACGACCTGACAATTCTGATCGACAATGTCCTTGATGCATTCAGTGATATTGATCCCTTCCGAATACTCAAGAAGATCAAACTCCATGCACTTGTCCACCTTCCCGAACAGATTAGGCGACGAGGTCCCGCAGTTCGCTTTTCATCGGAGATTTATGAATGCTACAATGCTGTGTTCCGCATGTGCTCTATTTTGAGCAATCATCAAGCAGCTAGCAGAGACATTGCTCTTAAGTTGGCCAGCTTGGACCGCGTCAAGCATATGATAAGCGGTGGCTATTGGCTTCAGGACGGAGACTGGGTACGTGCTGGTGAGGAAGTTCGGTCTATTCTTACGGCAATGCCTGTCATCCAAAAACATCTTGGATGGACACCGGTTGATGCATGGACACCTGGCACGATACGTGCTGTTGCCATGCAAAAGGCAACACGCTCTCGACCCGAAGTCTATGCGAGTAATGCGGGGATTGTTGCGGCTCGGGATCCAAGTCAACTCAAAATTCCCCCGCATTCATCTTGGGTAGCCGGCACCAAAGTAACTGCTGTGAATGGTGATGAGTGTAAGATTGGAACATGGGCTGTCTTTAGATGGACTCAAATGGTACGCCAGTCAGTCTACCTACCACAAAACCACCATTGAGCTCATAACCGTTGCTTACAGGACTCAAGTCATGCGGCATCGGAACAAGCATTTGTTGGTCGTATTTCGGCACTCTATCTACCATCAAATGCTGGTTCTGAAGCCGTTGGGGTCATTCTTGTAGAGGAATTCGAAGTGGGAGAAGTTCCGCACTTCCGCTTTAACATGCCTGTACTGTCGCCCATTTATGACAATAACATCAAGAGGATCATTGTTCTCAAGTCTTCGGTACGTAGTTATGTGCCTCATGTCAATGGTTACGATACTAAACGGAGAGTAGGCTCTCCAATTTGCAGTCAATGTTCAGCACGACTGTGGCAATGCTGGATGCAGTGCCGACGGTGTTGAATTTAGACGGCAAGAACGCGTCATCTCACAGGCCACACGAAAGGTTTGGGTTCACCGTGAGCTTGATACGCGGAACGCCAAGTTTGTTATCAATATCCATGCATTCCACAATGCTCGACTACTTCGGAGATATCTGCCTCGACACTTGACAGTACCGCGTCCACTATACCCTGGTCAAAAGCGAGATGAACACCTGGCTAATATTGCATCTGGCATCGAAGAAACTGCTGCCGCTTCAAAAGCAGAGTCAGATAAGAAGCGGAGCGAAACCTTAGCAAAGAATAGAGCAAACAAAGAAGCGGCACAGGCCAAGGCGAAGACAGCCTTTGAACCTCAGCCACGCTAGCGTAGTATGTAAAGATGGGATGAATTGCGTATATGTATTTATTGAACACGTTAATTTGAGCAAAGACGGTTAAGTAGCATGATGGTGTCACCAGTTACCAGAGCTTCAGCAAGCTTCGACTTCAACTCTTGCTCCAAACGCAAAGAGTTCCGCAGCACAGCATTCTCATTTTCAAGCTCGTGTCTGCGGCACTGTTCCTCGGACACCATGACCATCAAGTTCTCCTTCTCTTCGCAGAGCTTCTCCTGTCTCTGTTTGTGATCGTTGATGCTTGCCTGAGTGCGTTCCAGCCCCCCGTGGCACTTGGCCAGCATGGCTTGACTCTGTCCGAGTGCTTCTTCCAACGAATCAATTCGGTCCAATGCTTCCGTCAAATGTTCCATTGCACCAGAGTTCAACCATAGAAGATCATATGCAGTCTCTGTACGCTCCCGAAGCTCTTTGCGCAGACATATAACCTCTTCGTCTGACGATTGATCTACATGATAGAACAAGTCAATCTCACACGTCCAGCCTCTGAACGGATAAATACAAACATACATTGCATCTGTGCTTCAATGGGTGCTGGAGCCTCAGCGCTGCATGGAGCAGCCGGAGCCTCGCGTGCCTTCTCTCCGCAGCAGTGGAGATATTCTACCCACTGCTGTTTAGCTTCTTCTGCATCATCAACAATGCCGAAGCCATAGAGCCTGTGAATGGTGGGTTAGAAGTGTTACAAGCAACATTAGAGGATACTCACTGAATAGCATTGTGAAGTTTTTCAATACTATTCACTCGTTCAAGGTGCGAGAAGGGAGCTGATGGAGGCGAACTCATAAGGAACGAAATGGCACACCAGATTGTGTAATCGCTCAACAAGAATATTCAGTCATGTGCACTGTGACAACCGTGTATCAGTGACAATTTTTCAACGATCGGAAACTCTTACCGTCTTTACCATCATGTCTGAGGCAGATTCCTCGACCGTACCCCCTTCAGATTTCATCCTTGCAATCCAGGCTCGCATGGGGCAAACCCCAGTCACTCCGTCACCGGCAGCTGCTCCCCCTATCTCTGCAACTCCTGGAATAACACCGTCAGGCTTCAATTCGGGGCTGGAGGATCTCACCAATCATGGTAGTACAACCGGCAATGTTCGTGGACGCGACGAGTTCGAGAACGACAGCCTTGGAGAGCTCAACTTCTTCAGCAACGCCAGTATTGTTGGTAGCACGCTTTCGCGCTGGACAGTTGAACAAGGCCGTGAGCTGAAGAGATTCCGGGGTTTATCAGCCGAAGCGGAAAAGGATTACGAAGCTATTATAAAGGTGCATACCATACAGAGCAGCTATACGATCCTTCCTGAGATTCCTCTAGGCGCCATCGGCAGAGGAGCAGACTGCACGGATTGGGCTCCATATCCTTGAAACCCGCGACCTGGTCCGACAGATTTCTGAGGGGTTGACGGAACGTTATACAGTTTCGCCGGCACTGAAGGTAAGCAAGATCAGTGTTTTTCTGGTGCCAACCCATGTGCTCAACATGTTACGCGTAGAAGACCGCGAAAGACTACGCGAATGCAGCGATGCTTTCGCCTGCCACTTATTACTACGAGAACAAGCCGCTCGCGTTAGCGGCATATGTAAGCAATAGTTGCAAAAGCCTTTGGATTGGTCTCACATATATTGTTACGCAGAAATGCATGCGTACGCTGGGAGTCAAAGAGTTACCAAATGCACGTAACACCGGGCACTGTGACATGGTCATTGCCATCATCAAGGAGGAGATAACACAGAAGCGATATCTATTCAAGGATAAGGTATGCATAGCTGTATAAATGTGGAATTAGTACTGAGGTATGGTGTCAGATCGCGAATTCACTCACATTCGACGACAAAGACTGGAAGAAGGTTACTACCGCTCAAGATATTGGTACCCTCGTGAAAGCATGCATCGGCGACACTCGTACCCCGTCAACGGCTGGAATATACGTGCGCTTTGCATTTTTGGTAAGCACGACTTGTGCGGAATTCGATAATTTGCTGAATTCCTCTACAGCGACATGTCTGGAGAGAGATGTATGATAAACTTCCTGCACCAAAGGATAAGGAGAATGACTCTGAGGGTGCCGACAACAGGAGTACAAAGGGAAAGAAGAAGGTGAAGAAGGTGAGGGATGTTGGTGACTTCTGGGAGAGAGTGGATAAACGTCTTGAGGAGATGCGTGGATTCTACAAAGAGGAAACTACTCTCGGGAAGTGAGTACAGTGTTCTAATACTTATCAATTTTCACTCACCAGCTATTAGTGCTTTCTTCACAGTCTACCAGACAGATATCAAGGAATATGGCGAGCCAAAGGGTGCTGTAACGAAAGTTCAGGACCTTGAGGACTGGCTTGCCAGGTTGCATGAAGATACGGCCAAGGAGATGGATAAAGGTACGGCTTGATCTGTACGAGAGCGTGCCCTTCAGTGAGATAGAGCTGGCATACAAGCAATATATATATACATACCTTGAATCTCGAGTGTTAAAACGATGCACAGTGCGACGGCGGAAGCAAAATTTTTACCAGATCGGGTTTGTTGTCGCGTTCAGTCAAGCTGCCGGAAAGTCATGTGATTCATGTTCAAGTTTCTGTCTTCGACCGAGACGTTCAACGTTCAACGTTCAGCACGCAACTATTAGGCAACGCAAGTCGACTGAGAGAAGGGGGGGGAGAGATTTACAGATATCCAATCCAAGAGCTTCACGGTGCGTTACCACAACTGTGACTATAAATCGTCTCAATTCACCTGTTTCATTTTGTCGTTCATTGGCTTGAATTCAGGCTGGACCAATTCCTCAAGTGATGAACGAGAAGGCATTCTGGCAGACTGGTACAATACTACTACACATCGTCGTCGGTGTCATCATCAACAAGTTCACTGAATCATCTGGACAAATCTTCGTAACTGCTGTTCTTCAATCTCGGTTCTTGGGGCTTCTCTTTGGTCTTGCTCTGTGTCTAATGGCTGTCTTGTGCTGTGGTGTATACTCAAGAGCTCTCCTATGGCTTGTCCTGCTGGATTTCCGGGGTTATCTCATAAAACCATTGTTTTACAGTGAGGTGTTATGATATTGATACACAGTTCTCTTTCTGACCACCCTTCACAGGCAACGTTTACTATAAGTGGCATGTGGGTTTTGACATTGACAGGACAGACTGTATCATATTAGATAGCCATTCAATATATTTTGTTGTGAACTATTACTGCAGCGACCGAGAAACAAAGGAAAACGGAAAGGGGAAGGGGTTGAAGCCAGCGGGATCCATGACTCTCTCTGATCTAGTCAAACGATATCAAGAAGAGGTCGGAATCAAATGCGAATTTACCGAGCGTTGCAACGGATCTTGAGTGATGCCAAAGAGGCATTTGTCAAGACTTGATCGATGACTGGGTGGGATTTCGAGTCTGAGCTCGTCCCGACCTCAGGTCAAGTTGGCGGTGTACGGCTCTCATGTCGCGGAAGGACAGCCATCATATCTACCTCGCACTCGGTACCGATAAAGAAGCAATCACATCCCTGGTAGTATATCGGTTAGTACACGCGCCTGTCATAAGGCATTCCTCGTGACTTACGCAATCGCGCGAAAGCTGGGTTCGACTCCCAGCCAGGGAGTTACAGTTCCATCGACTCGGCCGTATTTCGTTGGAAGACAGTCGGGTTAGGATGACGGCATGCCACCGTGACGCGTCTCCTTACCGCCGGCTAGGATTTTTTGCTTCCGTTTATCGCCTCTTCGTCTGTTTCGTTATCGATGTTTCAAAGTCGTAGGCTCAATAGGTTTAGGCAAAACGGGCAGGGTTGAGGTATAGTTTTTGGTTTTGGTTTGTGATATCGTCGTTGATACAGATTACTCAATACAGGAAAACGACCTAGAAATCGAACATGAGATCCAAGTTGGGCGTTCCACCTCTCGTGAATCTGCTTTCCTGGACGGCAAGCTGGTATGTTTTCTGCGTGCGTTATCGTTGTTCTCGGCGCTGACTGCCATATAGATCCTGGCCTTTCATGTTCAACTTGGGTTGTGCAAAAGGGAAGATACGTCGTTTTGGCGTTGGTTGGAAGCGTTGTTGTTAATAGGTCAAGAATAGCCGGAAACACAACGACGACCTCGACAGAGGGATATGGCATCATGCTTGGAGAAGAGTTTTGGGTTGGTTTGGCAGGAAGGTTGGGGAGATAGTGGTTCCTGGCGACGGTTCAAGCATCCTTTCATCCAGAACGACGAAGACATCCATTCCCCGGCCTCTTTACACCTTTCCTCTACCTGCTTCAGATATGGCTGAACACCACCGCAAATACGACGATGCAGGAGCCCATGAAGGAAGGAAGAGTAAACTGGTTCTTGCGGGTTCCAACAGAGAAGGTTCAACGATACATACTTGGATCCGACACTCCCAATCTTCCGCTAGCTTCCCCGTCGACGATGTTCCTCCATACTGCGGTTTCGTTGGCGTGGTGTGTGCTTAGCGACGAGAAGACGGATATCGGAACACCTTCTCTTCCAACTACGACGCTTCAACCATCTGTCATCCTACATCAGCTCCCGCCTCTTGATGAAGACACCCATTCCACAGCTTCATTCACGTCCACCTTCCCATGGTGCACTCGAACTAGTATTCGTCGTCGTTTGGTCCCTCTCCTGAACCATAATGAAGAAGACACACCGACGTTGACCCAACCGCGATACTGAACGGATTCAATTTCAAGCATCCTCCTTCCTGTGCACCCCGCGACGAAGACATTCATTTCCCTGCTTCCTCTACTTCGCCGCTTTTACCCGGCCTCCAACTTCAGCGGTGTACTCCAGCCTTCCTGGTCCACTCTACACCACTCCTCTACCTCTACCTGAGTTCCAGAATGTCGTCCACCCCACGATGTACTGCTCGGCCTCACTCCCAGCTAGCACCGTCATCTCTTCGGGAGTGGCTTCCACGGCTCTTTCGCTCGCTTCCCCGTTGACAATGCTCTACATATTTGTCGGGTTGTGCGAGAAGGCTTGATTCCTTCAACCTTGGACAAGCAGAAATACCCTAACCTTTCCTTGGCACAATGGAAGGATTAGGCCTCTTGAACGCTTGAAATACCATTCCAGGGAACTACAACCTGCGCGTGTTGGGTACCGGGTGTTTGGGCTTTGGGAGTTGGGAGTGTATAGGGGTGTAAGGGGATGAAAGGGTTAACGAACTTTTCCTGCGTCATCTCTACCAACCACAACCTCCACACGCTTCTTCATGGACAACGAACGGTTCATGTAATCTCTACCCTTCACATTTACCACCCCATTCCCTGCGCCTTCATTTCATAACTTCCAGCCTAGGGTTACGAGATCTATGATGAGTGCTATATCGGAGGCGGTGTATGAGCGATAAAAGGGACAACGAGCTAACGGCCCTTTCCTCTGTAACTCGACAGTTGGTGTACTCCCAGGTATCTTCGTCTCAATGCCGTACCGCTACGAGTCGATGGGTGGTGATGGTTTGGCTGGGGGAGAGGCTGGTCCTTGTTTTTGTAGTGAAAGTCGGCGGAGATGTCCTCAGATGTTCTGTGGCAGCAACATACACCGATCATCTTCATCCTCCTCTCCACCGTTCAAGACGCCCCCATATTCTTGCTTCGTCACCGAACCCGCCGAGGCATCTGTCATCTCTTCCTGCACGTTGTTAGGCTTACATCCTGGACCTTGAATACAAGCTAGCGACGGTTTGGCTGTCACTCCATGGACGGGAGAAGTGTTTCGTGTTGCGTAGTGGCAGCGGCAAGAGAAGAAATACCATGTCCTGGGATGGTCTGCAGCAACGTACACTGACGACGATTATCTTTGTCTTCATCGCCCCCAACTGTTGCTGGTTGTCGTTGAAAAGATGGGAAGTGGAGCGTTTGGATTCGAGGTTGGGAGTTGGTTGTATGGGGTGTATGGGCGATAAAAGGGACCTATCAACTACATCACTTCGACGCGTCTTCCCGTACACACCTCCACCGAGAAGATACCCATTTCCTCCAGAGGTCACCTCTTCCTACATCTCGTTCTTGACTTGCGACGGTTGGCGTGTTCCGTGGAGTAGAGGCGGAGAGAAGGTATCATGACCTCGGATAGTCTGCAGCAGCGTATCTTCGTTTTCATCCCCCCTGGGCTATATTGCGATGGTCTGGGAGATGGCGCATCTGACACTCGCCCTGATACCCCGGTGGACGTTTGCGAGTTGGAAACGGTACGCTGGATTTACGAGCTGGGTGTTGGAGGTGTATGGGGTGTGGCTTGGGGGCGTATGGGACGTAAAAGGATGTCGAGTTTCTGGACTTGAACGTTTCAGCCTAGTCCCCTGCAAGCGCTGGTGTGCCTTCCAGAATGTTGGGTACTCGTCGTTTTGCTTGGGTTTGTGGACGTTCCCGGCGAATGATACAAGATCAAACCAGAGCCAATGTATACGAAGCCCACCGTCCAGGAAAAGTCGCACAACACTGCAAGCTATGGGGAAGGCATGGCTTGCCGCTTGTGGTGTGAGAAAGGGATGTAGGACAGGAAGATGGACGTTTTTGGATTTGGCTGCGAGCTCTCGTTCCAGTGGATGAATTCCGAGAATGCCTTGGGAGATGGGAAACTGGATTTACGAGGTGTATGGGGTGTATGGGGCATAAAAGGATGTTGATTATAGGTACCACGAAAAAGGATCCTGGGTTCCCGGACTTAATGTCTCAACCTACTCCCCTTCACCCGTAGCTGTCGATGCACTGGGTGTGCGTGTACTCGTCCTTTTGTCTGGGTGTGTTCAGGAAGGATGAATGAGGATAGACCATCCCGGAGCCGAAGCACGCGAAGCTCACCATCCAGTACATCACGGACTCGTTAGCTTATTTGTTGAAGGAGAGACTATGGGAAAGCGTGTCTTTTGTTGGGAGGAAGGGATGTAGGGCAGGAAGATGGAACGTTACTAGCGTTTTGGGATTTGGCTGCGAGCTCTACCTCCAAGTCTTGCAACTCCGAGAAGGTCATGGGAAATGGGATGTGGGTGTTGAAACTGGGAGTATGAAGGGAAGTGTGCTGCTACGCTTTGGCATGGACAGCTGTTATAGGTTGACGGGGTGAACGCTACGGAAGGGATTTCCGATAAATTTAGAGACCACTCCCTGGTTCCCAATTCGCTGCATCTCTCGGATGTCGAAACGGCTTGGTGAGCGTTCCTGTTGTTGTGGTACCTATTATCCGTGTTGTTAATCGTGGAAATAATAGGTTATAGAAGGCTTACCGTGGAAGATGAACATTGGCGGTTTTGATATTTGCGGCTCCTACTACACTCCATGCAAGCGTTCGTCATACTTCTAGGCCTCTCTACCTTGGACACTGGGATTCGTAGGTACCGCTTTCAAAGCACGAAAGCACTCCGACGTTCTTTTGGGGCGGAGCTGCCTTCACCATCGAGGAACACAGTCTCCTTTCTCTTTAGGAAGTGTTTCGGAGGTCTAGGATCGCGAATGTGGTGGGAGTAGGAAGATGAAGATGAAAGGCGGTCGAGGATTTGTTCTACCTCGTCATCATCGCTGGGAGATTGGATGAGATGTGAGTGGTAGAAGCTGGGCGTATGGGAGTGTTGGAGTGGCAGGTTGACGGGGTAAACGCTACGGAAGGAAATTGGAAACTACCACCTCGCTAAATCTCTCGGACAGTCAGAGCAGGTAAGCGTTCAGGTCATCGTGGTGTCTGTTATCGGTGTTGCTGACGGTGCACATCGACACTAGGTACCAGGTCCAGAATGCGTAACATCAAGGGTGAACGCGAATATGAACGTCAATGCTCTGGGTATTCTGCGGTAGCACCATACCCCGTGCGAGCGTCCATCGTACTCCTACGCCTCTAGCTCGGACATCGGGATTCGGAGGTACCGCTTTTCGAGGTACAGAACGTTCTGTTGGGGCGGAGCTGCCTTCATCGTCGAGGAACCTGGTCTGGATCGTTCTGCATCCTTTCTCTGTGGGGGTTTTCAAGGAAGTTTGGGATTGTGAACGTGGTGTGACATTCGAGACCGGTCGAGGATTTGTTCTACCTCGTTTCTGTGTACGGTTAGAGATGAGGCTTTGTTGTGGTTTAACCTAGGAGGTGGGATGGGAGTATGGGAGTGTTGGGGTAGCAGGTTGACGGGGTCAACGCTACAGAAGGAGTTTCCGACAACCTGGGGGTTACAGTCACACCGGCACTACAACTGTTACATCTCTCGAACGTCGAAACAGGTGAGCGTTCCTGTCATCTTGGTGTTTGTTATCCGTGTTGCTGACGGTGCACGTCGGTTCCAGGCTCCAGGTCCAGAATTCATGACACCAAGGATGAACGCGAATATGAACGGCGTTATTCGGCGGTTCGCCCTGCTAGTACCACATCCCATTCCAGTGTTCGACATACTCCTGCGCCTGTTGACCTTCGACACCGGGAATCGGAGGTACCGCTATTCGAGGTACCGGAGAAGCACTCTTTGCCTTCATTGTCGAGGAATATGGGGAACCCCGCGAGATCGATCTTCTTTCTCCTTTCTCATCAGGGATTTGGAAGTCTGGGAGCGTGATTTTGAATGAGACCTCTCGTTCTGCACGCCTCGATAGCCCTCCTGTTGAGGTAGCACATC